GATAATTATGTTAAAGATATTCACCTAATATGATTGATAAGTTAATTCTATTTTGGATTAAATAAATTGCAAGGTAAGAATGAAAGAGGAAGACTGATGCTGTACTCTAAAGATTGATTAAGGCAAGAACCATTAAATATGAAATTGGACAATCGTTTCCCGTTTAAAGAAGTAGCCTTTCAAAAAATTTTATAGCTAAGCAATTTTTTATCTCGCAGAATTATTCTCTATGAGAGTGTTTGCATAAAATTTAGGAGCGAATAACTTTTATGATAATATTAACACTTAGGTTAGCATATAAGTCGAATTGATACACCAGTTCAATGTGCTCATCGACGCCTGACCCAGAAGATGTGGATCATCCAAGGCACGTTAGCATTACGTACTCCTCTTCGAACTGGGATTAGCTAGTTGGTGAGGCAATAACTTACCGATGCAATGATCAGTAACTGATTCGAGAGGATGATCAGCCACACTGGGACCGAAACACGGCCCAGAGTCTAGTATAATTTAATAGAAAAATGTCAATAAGTTGAAAATGGATGCTCCTTATGTTTCAAAAAATGGGGAAATAGTTTTTAAAAGGTATTGGATGTCCCATCATTTGATTACTGTGTTTCAAAATTGTGAGTGTAAAATCGTTTTCTTATTGATTTCCTAATCATTTTGAGTGTTTGAAATAAAACTGGAGTTATTTAGATTTCATAAACTTCGGAAAGACATTTCTCCTATAGAACTATAGTTTGTAATTTAGCTAGAAATTATATGATTTAGAGAATTGAATCGGAACTAGAACCAATTATCTTATAGTAGAATCATTAGTTCCATCTGTAAGTATAAAATCAGCCAATACTATTAATGCAAATTATGATACATAGTTATTATATTACAAAAGGTTAATACTTACATCCAAAATCAATACAATAGTATCATTTATTGTAAACTATAAGTTCCATCTTCATACAAAATATTTTATAATAGAAAGCATTCACTGCATTAACAAATAAAAATAATTAATTAAAAAGTCGATTATGTTAGCACTGTTTCTCAATATTGGATACAAGTATAGAAACCGAACCAAAACGGGCCGATTCTTAGTTCTAGGAACAAAAAATGTTTAAGATTTAAGCAAAATTGAATCGAACCAGCTGATTCTAGTTCGTTGATTGGTTCGAGTTCTTTGCCCATTATGATTATAACACTCTTAACAAGCTTACGATAATAAG